TTTTACCTATAAATCTTACTTTACACCATGTACATAAAAGAATTATTAATAAAATGTAAGTTTGGATTCATTAGTATCATGAAAGATATATTTCATTTTTTTTAAAAATGTATTAACTATTAATATAAAAAAAATAAGTACGAGAAAACTTATACCTACATATAAATACTAGAGACAAAAAGCTGCGCGAAAAATCAAATGCGTGCAACAAAATCTTGCTCTTTTGATAGATGAGGAGGTGCTGAAAAGTTCTCCTCTAACCAACTCCTCAAAATCTTACTAAATGACTACAGATTTTTGGAAGGGCACCTTGCTTAGGCTGAGAAGTTTTCAGCATCCACTCATAAAAATACTTTGATAGGATCCAAAAGTGTTTTTTTTTTAAACAAAATATTCCGCACCTGCAGTACTTACTATTACCTAAAAAGGAAACAACATACAAAAATGTTGATATATTTATATTGTCAGTTAAAGAGCATATTTTGTTATTGACGTGCAGATGTAGATGCTATACTACCTGGCAAAGATCTAAGAGAATATGAGAGAAAGAGAGAGAGAGATTTGTAATGGTTATTTTAAGGCATTTGTGGTTGTAAAGACTGTACGTACATGCATGCATGTGTGTGTGTGTGCGCGCACACAAAGTGACAATTGATGCAGGCCTAAAAGTAATTACTGTGAGAATGCATTACATTTAGTGATATCTGTTGGTCAATCTATTTATTTATTCAGAACTAAATGAACCATATAGAATAGTTCTATATTTATAAAATTAGGTGCCATCAGTGTTCATGAATTTATTTTAACATCCACATCTTTGTTGTTTTTATAACTTTTCTTTTATTGAAAGACAATCATTGAGAATAAGTTTAAAAAGAAAATAATCACAAGCACTAAACACTAGTAATATCTGATAAAACTTTCAGAGGTGACAGAATTCAGTAACAGCTTTTCTAGCATTCTAGTAACAAATAATAATAAATTCAATAATGAAATTAAGTTGCAACATCACAGCTAATCTTTTCCCCCAGAATGCATTAAATATCTGAGGTGCAAAGTGGTGAGATAATGGAATTTGCAAATCTAGTTTTAATTTTGGCTGAAGCTGCTTATGTATACTTGGAAATATTTTTGGGAAAGGCATGAATCCACTTCTCTATATGTTCTGACCCATTGTCAGCTATCTTGACAAAATCTCTTATCACTGGTATGACTGACCTGAGAAGTCAGTGGGTATAGGATCTCTTGTAATTATCTAACTTGCATAGGCAGCAACAGCAAAAAGCTGTTACTTTCTTAGTCAACTTTGACTGTATTTAAAGTACATGAAAATATTAGTTAACTTTAGTTATATGTATGCTATTTGTCCAAAATATTTAAACAAACTAAGATGAGGATATCAGTCCAAATAAATTCACGGACATTTAATTCGATACAATTTTAAGTAGCAGATGTTCACTAGGACTTTATAAACATGAGGCTTACCTTCAAAGTAGAATAAATCTGTAAACAAAACATAAAAATGAGAAGAAAGAATATTTAACATAAGTTTGCCAAAATGCCTCTATTTGTGTTGTATATCCTGAGGATGCATGTTAAAAATAAATAAAATAATTATAATAATTTAATAATATAGTCTGTCTTTCAGATCTTTATCAAATGTTCTTGTCCTACTTAAATAGAACCATTATATAGAATTAAAATCTCAATCCTCAAATGAAAGGAATGTTGTAAAAATGACATCAGGCAAAACTAATTTGTTTATTTCTGTAATTTCAACTAATTTTTATGCCTTATATAGCTGTACATTTTGTGAAAAAAGATAAAAATCAAAATTCATAAAAAGTAAAAATTTTCAACTTACATTAAGAAACGAAAAAAAAATCTGTCTTAATGACTAACAAGCAACAAATGCATTGTGTGATTTTCTAATTATACAATCTAAATTTTCTATGTTAGATATTAATTTGAAAGTAAAATTGAAATAAGTGATCATTTTTTTAAATGCTAGAATTCACCCAAATCAAAGTTTGAGAGACACTCAAGTTAGAGGGCTATTGTTAAAATGGTAATGATTGAATGAGGTGTGTGATATGAATTAAAGAGAAAGTTTTTGAAGGTGAAGATTAATAGGATAAGGAAAATAGATAACAGTTGACTCTGGACTTGAAAAGTTGAGGATTGTTGTTGTGTTCAGGGAAGTGGAAGTAGTATAGCATATCCTTTCAGAGAGTCAAATCAACCTCATTTCCTTCATGTTCCAAATATAAGAACATAATATAAGAACTCAACTTAGTAAACAGAGAATAACAGAACAAATATAAAATTTACTTTTCTAAAGTCACCTCAGTAATATTTAGGAAATCATTTGGACTTCAACTGTTTTGACAATATTCTGAATTAATTTTTAACTAGTAAGTTCTTTCATCTTATTTCTATTTCATAGATTTCAGATCATCATTCTGTGATCATTAAATAAGCAATGCCAAGGTTTATTCTTTCTGATCTTCATTACTTAGTTAATGATTAGAGATTATCAAAAGAAATACTAGTCAAAAAATAAATAATAATCGATACTGATTTATCTAAGAAATTTGGAAATATTTCCATTAAGAATTCTCAAATAATCCATCAGGGTTAGAGAATAAACTGCACATCAGGAACCAGCATGTATATTAAAATCACAGAAATCAGTCAAAATGATGATTATTAGCATATTTCATATGCTAATAATCATCATTTTGACTCTCAAACTTTGATTTGGGTGAATTCTAGCATTTTAAAAAATGATCACTTATTTCAATTTTACTTTCAAATTAATATCTAGCATAGAAAATTTAGATTGTATAATTAGAAAATCACACAATGCATTTGTTGCTTGTTAGTCATTAAGACAGATTTTGACTGAATTCAGTAGATATTTTGTTCAACTTCACTAAAAATTTTAAACTTGTGTGTCAATTTTTGAACTGACTATTCTTATGGCAAGTCAGAAAAACAGGTCTACTTTAAGCAATGCCTAATAGATGAAGCCACAAATGAATTGAAACTTTCAGAGATTGTTTATGTTTGTTCATTAGTCCCTTTATATTATGTGGTTTGTGCATACACACTGGTTCAACTTATATAAATGCAGTCTTATTAGTCATATTCCATGATGGTTTGTATGATTCTCCTTCCCTATCCTCAGACCTGATTTAAATTGTGTTGATGGATTATGATTTTTGATGTTCAAGTCTTATTTTTACAGTGCATCTGTTCTTACCCTTGTACTCTCCACAACTGACATCCAAACCTTTTCTAACATTCTGACAAAAGCTATTTGATGGTTATTTTTATTGGTTATGGACAGTCAACCTTCAAAGCAATAATGACATGACAACCATCAAATGCTAGTAATTTGGCTGGATACAAGTCTAATTGTTTAAAGAAACATTTCTCCAAGTCACTAGGCTTATATTCTATACGTAATTATGACCTTTTAAAAGTCTTTTCTTAAGGGCAAAAGAAAAAATGTTTTTGAAAGTTTTATTTGGAAAAACAGGGAAAAATCTTTCTCAAATAATCATGCATGGGAAATATAGCCAGAAAGCAACATCATCATTTATGACATTGGTAAAGAGAAAAAAAAAAAAAGAAAGAAAAATAGGGCATGAAAGATTTCAATTAAAGTTAGTTAACAAGTTGGTTCACAATTTTTGAGAAGCAGATCGACAAGTTTGAACACTTATTTAAAGACGATAAATAAATATTTATCTTTTAAGATAAAAGGGTTTAGGAATAATTCAGGATGTTTCTTTTTCTTTTTTTTTTTGAGGTTTTTCTTAATTTGTGATTGATATCTACTTCTCCAAAAAAGATTTTGGCCCTGCATCCTAATTTATATTTGCAAAAAAAGTCATGCTGTTTAATAAATAATTTTTTAAAGTCATCAAGCCATGCCATGAAACAGTTCCTGGCATACAAAGTCACCTGTTTCTTTCCTTTCTCCAAACTTGGTCATTTCTTTTTAGTGTGGATATTTTTAACACAATTTTTAAAACTTTTCCTGAAATATTCACATTTGAGAAAGAGAGAGAAATTTTTTTTTTACTCCAAACGATAATTTTTTTTTTTTAATATAAACAAAGAGCTTTAAATTTGACGGATTAATTAAAAGGAAAAACCAGATTATTTCTTCTTTAAGGAAAAATTTTCATTTTTTGAGGTCAACATATTTTTGCAGAGTACTATGGGTTTATTTTTGTACAATTTTTCATGGTAAAAAAAAATGTAAACACTATTTGTATCTTCTTAATCTTAAGAGTCCTGATTCGCCTAAGAGATCCCGAAATAAAAGTTTACTGAATTTTGTGAAATCGGGTGGGGTAGATTGGAGTCGATTTCTTTGCTCATACATTATGAAACCTCCAAGACCGGTTTTTTTTTTTATTGAAAATATTTAAAAAAAAACTTTTTTCTTTATATTCAAAATAATGAAGGTCATGGTATTGTTCAGTCGTGGACAGTATCATTGTAATGTAACAATGCCATCTTTTTTTCTTTTTTACAAATTCAAACTTTATTATTTCCACTTACGCTTTTCTATTTATTATTTAATTTTTATTCATCTTTTTTTTTATAATTGTAAAATAAATTACTCAAGTAAGATCAGTGCTCACACAGGTTAGGTTACCCTTCTTAATAATCACAAGGTTGAATTGAGAGTAGTTTTAACTCGCACTTAGCATGTCAGGTTCTATAATGTATATAAAATTTACATTAACAATATACAATTACATTTTCTTTTGCGTTCAAATGTAAAAGTTGAATTAATGAATGACACATAAAGAAAGAAAAATCATCATGTGTGTCTTCCAGCACTGCAGCAGATATAACGGTAACTTTCAATCTACCAATTTCCCATTTGAGTGCATGCTACCTTTGCATAAACGACTATAACCTTTGCTTTTTAAGTATCATTTGAATTTCAAAGCAAAATTAGAATATTATCAACTTACCCCCTATTTCTGCCTGAACAGACTCCACCACCCAAGAAGACATGCCACGGTAAAACAACTTTCAGTGCTCTACCGGAAGCCGACGTCTGGAGGAAAAAAAACGGATATGGAATATGTTCGAAGAAACCCACATTGATGTCGTCATTTCCTCTCCGGTTACAGTAGTTTTCTTACCGGTTTTTTCAACTTAATGCAATTGAACGCGGTAATGCAGTCAAGCTTGGCTTGTCAACTATTGCGAATCGCAGCTTGTGAGTTCATTCCGTACTGGATGTTCTGTGAATACAGCCGTGTGCAGCAAATATATACAAGTTAATTAAATTTTGTGTAGTGATTGCCTATTTGTTTAAATGAGAAAAAAAGGTACAGTCCCCAAAATAAATTTTTTGGATGGATGATTTTTTTTCCTAAATGAAAGCAAAAAAGTACCCACTTTAAAAAAATTCAAGAAATTACCCGATTTAAAAATGAAATTTTCAGAATTATATACTGAATGAGTTAGTAATTAGAAAACTTTGTCAAAACATTTTTGTAGTGTTAGTTACTCTGCCATTTCAATATATCGTGAATATAAAATACTTTCAAATTTGAAGAAAAAGGAATAAATATTTTTTAGTAAAAAATAAAATGCAGTATAAAATCAGAAAGTTTGTCCTGAAATTTTACAAAAATAATTCAATAAAAGTCAATAACTTTTTATTGTGAGTTACTACTTGCGTAATTTAATAAAACATTACTTTTCTTTCAATGAAAAAAAAAACAAAACAAAAAACTACAATGATTTTTGAAAAATTTATAATTTTTTAGTGCGATTTTGAAATTATTCAGAGTCCTAATGACAAAAGATCATAAAGATTAGTTTGATGAATCGAAAAATATAAAGTTAGATACCATTTTCGAATAAGAAATATTTTTAAAAGAATTTTATTTTTATTATTTTCACAAGATTTTACTTTGTATAGCAGATCAAATAGGGAATAATTCTGAATTACCTCCCTATATTGGTTATAAAATTAAAAATAACTGTTTGAATGTGTCAAGAGGCAACCATAAACAGTATCAATTTAGTAAGTCTATAAATTTTCCCCAATTTTTTTTTATAGCAACACTTTCTTTTGTTTAATTAATATATTTTAAAATAATTAAAAACACCCAATTTGGTACAGTTAAATATTTCATGACCTCTAATAGTTAAAAACAAAAAGAAGAGGTTAAATGCCAAATAGTTTAAAAAAAAAAAATTACATTTTATTTTCTGAAAAAATATTTTTATATACTCATTAATGTAAAAAAAAAAATCTACTAAATAATTATATATATATTATATATGACTAATGTTTACCTTATACAAAGCCCAAGAGCCATTCAAGGTAGGTTACTGAAGGTGGTTGTTGTGTAAGCAGTAAAAGTAAGAGGCGCAGTTTATGCGGCTATGTTTGAAAGACCCTAAACCTGAGGAGGTTAAGATTGTGGTAGTCGGGAAAGCATCTTCCTTGGATTCTGTTCCACAAAGCAAGAGTTCTTGTGAAGAAACTTTAATTAGAATGGAACTTCTTACTCCTTCCTTACTAAAGCAACATGAAGGGAATGAGGGTGGTTTATCTATGTGTGTGGTATGATGGCAATTAGCTGGGAGAGTTAGGGTTGGGGGAACTAATGAATAGAGTAGCAAGAAACTAGCTAGGTTTCCTTTTGTGGAAAAGGGGTTATAAAGGTGGAAAACAATTTATCACCCACAAAGGCTTTGTAGGCGTTTTTGGACTCTTATCAAAACTGGAAAGTGAAGACAGCACCAATCCAGATATGGCAACAGTACTGCCTTATTGGTTTTGGAAAGTTAAAAACGATTATTTTAAATTAAAACATAAATAAAGCCAGTTTTTTTATTTTGGCCATTTTGCGCTTTCGTATTTATTTAAATTTGCAGCAGTTTTTTTCTTTCTAAAATTGGGGGTTGAGGGAGATAACTACTTTTGTTTGATCTATAATCTTGTTGACAGTTCGAATACCTTGCCTTTTTGTTTTCAAAAGGTGTTTTTCACTAAGCATACAGTAAGAAATATTTTTGTTAATTTATCCTTCATTTTACTAATTTTCTTTGAAACTAATATCTATGATAGATATTTTTAAAGTTTTTTACATTTTCTGTCATTATTTTCAATGAAAATAGTTGCCCGATGATAGAATGACCATAAATGTTTTCTTTTATCGACACGTGTAAAATTATTTTTCTTTTTTTAGTTTTAGAGGCAGTTACTTTTTAAATAGAACCAAAGTTTGCTAAAAGGGAGACAATTATTTTAAATGCTTTTTTTCAGATTTTTTAGCTCAAATTTTGGTGGTACCTCTACAAAAAACAAATGAACATCGATCGGTCACTACAGCTCATGGAATAGCTTCGACCAGAAACGTTTGTTATGTGTAAAGCAGATTTTGTTAGAATAAATAAATATTAGTACTAAATAACATTTGTTGGAATTTAATTTGAGAACAATATTTTACAAGTTCACATTCTCGCTATTTTTCTATCCTCACTCCAACCTTTTTTTACTTTCAAAGCCTTGATTCTTATCAGAGATACTGACTAACGAGAGAGCTAGAAAATATAAAAAGGATTTATTATTCTTTCCATGGTTCCATAAAGTCTGTGGAAAACCTCACAGCTTGTTCACTCCAACCTGTTTTCATTACTTTCAAAACCGGCTCCCAGAGCCCTGATTCTTATCAGAGATAAGAATATATTTTCTGACCAATGAAGGGGCCAGGAAATTTGTTTAACAATTTTGGAGGGAAAAGTCCCCGATTCTTCTGAGCCTCCCAAATCTCCATAAATTTGGAGAATCTTTGCCTATTTGGCAGTTAGAATTTTGAACGTGAGGTCGACGATATGGAGCTCCAGTCAACTTCAGAACCACTTTCAACAATAGAAGAAATTCCTGCTAGGCTAGAAAGAACAGACCGTCAGCCCATTAAAAACTAATTGAAAGCTGCATCCCTTCATCACTCCTTCTGTCGTCGACCTACGAACTCACTTAACTGCAAGATTCCTACCAACAATTTGCCTACTCTACAAGAACTGTGAGTGTTTCTACCTTAACAAAATTCTAATCGCTTAAAGAACTTTTTAGGCGTTCAGAGAAATGTTTTGAGCAAGCCTTTTTAGTTTTTTCTGTTATGAACATTTTCTCTTCTCAGAAAGGACATTTCTCTTTTTCCTTTCTTTCACTCTTAGTTGTCTTTATCCCTTTACCCTTTTTTTTCTGTATATGTAAATAAACACTTTCTTCTTTTGTTACACACCGAGCAGGAGTTTCTTCTTTATTCGTCCATGCCTAAAAGAGAGTTTGTCCGCTCTAATCTTCTTTTTTTTTTTTTTTTTTTTTTTATACTCACGTTTTGTCGCAATTTTTTGTAACACTTTTTTGTAACACTTTGATGCGGGAAAGCCGGGACAAATTTCCCTGCACATTGATAGTTGTAAAATTGTTTTCGTTTTGCTAACATTTTGATTTTTGAATAGTTTAAAATAAATTGAATGGTTCAATGAATAAGAAGTTCATTTAAAACAAAATGAAACTAGCGCAACATTTTATTTTTACCATAAAAATGTTGATATTATTTCTGATGTTTTCAGACAAACTTGCATCAATCGCATAAGACTATGAAATTCATATTTCTACAATGTATCAATACTTGTGAGGAAAAATGGATTTTTTTGCCTAACTGAATATTTGCACAATGGCTGAATAGTGAATATAAATGAGAAGCCTCAAGCAAAAATACACTATAATTCCTAAGCTATTGTGAGCATTTGGTGAAACAGGATTTTTACATCAGGACTTCCTTCAAAGTAGCGAAATCATTACTATCTTGAAACAATCCCGTAAAACAGTGAAGTGAATAGTTTGGTGAAGAGAAATATTCTTTTGCTACATTACTTATATTATCATAATTCTTATCATTAGCATAATTCTAGAGATGTGAAGAATAGGCAGGCTGTAATAAAAGTCTCCTTCAAATTATTCAATATTATATAATTCAATTATGTAATGTTAATTGAATAATAACAGCCTGACTATTCTACACATCTCTATTCTTAGAATGTGAAGAATAATATTCTGTCGTCTATTATTTTGAGTATTTATATCACTTAAGATAAAAAAAACTTTTTCAATCAGAATCATATTGAATGTACCTACAATTTTTATGTATTTGAAATTTGAATGAATTTTTTTAAAGAATTGATAAACATTTTTAAAAGTAGAATACTGCTATGGATTTCCTAAAAATAGAAAACAATGAAAAATGCATTTTATTTTTAAATAATTTAAATTTCTTTAAAGTTAAATATTGCTTTTCATTCGAAAGAAAGCTAATCTGTATGAAAAGAAAAATAAATTTCCGTATATAAATAAAGGTTTTACACATTTTTAAAACATTGACACGTTCACATGTCAGTCGTCAAGTCATTGAACCTCCATTATGGACAAAAATAAATGTAGACAAATTTAAAAATCCAATATTTGTCTTAGAGATTTGTTTCAAAGTAAATTAGTAAACTTAAGGATTTTGTAAAAATAATGCTTACTTTTTGTTTAAAACATAATGAAAATAATGTTTATGCACAGCAAACTGTGATGATACCATAGGACAACAACAGTAATTTTCCACTGTCATCCCTGACTCTTCAAATGGCCGTGAAAGATTAAAAGAAAAAAAAAGGAAATATATATAGAACACCAGTAGTGAAATAAAGAAATTGTTATTTACATTTAAAAATAAATGATCTTTAACCTTATATAATCAATAATTTAAGAATATAGTTTTTTTTTTATTCTGTACAGTGTACACGTTTATGATTAAATAATAAATAAATGAAAATAAAAAAACTAGTGAAATGATACTTTTGATTTTAATTCATTGCTTTTATTTTTTGATTATTTTTTTAAAATCTATTTGATGTTATAAAATATTTATTTGCAACCCGTGAAGTCTTTTTTAATTGTTCTGAATTTAAGATTTATTGAATTATCATATTACTCT